AATTATTATAATTTAATTTGTAATATCAACTAAAATACGTAGTAAATTTATTTCTGCTGAGATTTTATTTTCACAAATTCGGGTCCAAATTGTAATTTTTATTATTTTCGCTTACGAAGCAACGAGCTAGTGACATAATTTGTACCTAAATTTATTCCGTGTAATCTAGGTATACTTCAACCCCTTTCAATTCCTGTTTCTGCTTCTAATATCAATCAATCTCGCCTATTTCTTACTAACTTCTATAACTTACCTAAGTGTAAGTGTGAACTTGGGAATATTTTATAGATTTCATGGTATTTATTGGCCTGCATTTTTGATGGCAGCCGGTTTAGAACTACCATCGTGTATATATTGCCATTCGCATTGGACTGTCGACGGAGAAAAAATGTCCAAATCAAAAAATAACGTCGTGTGCCCTTTGGAAAGGAGTGAAAATTACACGACGGATGGTCTTAGATACTTTCTACTTAGAGAAGGTGTTGCACATAGCGATGGCAGTGAGTTTTCTCTATTTTAATCTAATTTTCGACGACAGTGTCCCTTCTAGAACGTGCTCTAATTGTATTATTATCTATTGTCAGGGCCTCAGTTTAATCGGAAACTAGTTCTATACTTTGATAATGAATTTAGTATCTTATTTTCTTAGGATTACGAGTAAAAACAGTGAAGAAAATTTAATTTCAAGTTTACCCTACTTTTGCTATTTCTTTCACTTTATCTTTTGTCGACTGTAATATTACGAAAACTCTGATCCGCCAAATAGCTGATCATCATCATCATAAGCTCGTCAGTCCTAAGACTGGTTGGACACGCATTTTCACTCTTTCCTATCCTGCGCTAATCTTCGTATTTCCCTAAAGAGCAACCCATACCCTTAACTATTTGCGAACAGTAATCTAATGTAGGTCTTGACTTTTGAAGAGTTCTCTGTTCTCTTACTCTTTCTAATACCTCTTCATTTCTAACCTTCTCTATCCACGGTATCCTCATCATTCGCCTGTAACACTACATTTCGAACTCTTCTAACCTTTCTTTTCCGTCGCGCCAATCTTCCATGTTTCGCACCCGTACAGCGCCGCGCTCCAAACATATACCTTTAACAACTTTTTTCGAATTTCTAAATTAACCGTTCCCGAGCATAGAAATGACTTGCTTTATATCCCTACTACTTCTTTCGTCCTGACTTATCTGACTTCCTAGATACCTACAATCGGCCACTTCGTCTAATTTTTCGTCTCCTATCTCTATATTCGCTCTTTCCCTACTTTTCCTTCCTTTGCATACCAGTATTTAAGTTTTACTTTATCTATTTGAATGTGTCCTGGGCGACTGTAATTGTTTTTGTTGTTTCTTGGTAATAAATTGATAATAAGTTTTTTTTGTTTTATTCAGACTACAGCGATACTAAAGTGGTGAGAATTTTAAATTCCGAGCTTGCAGACACGTTCGGCAACCTATTAAGTAGATGCCGTGGGAAAAGTTTAAATTCTGAACAAATGTTTCCCGCGATCGATAAATCTGCATTTGAGAGACTTTCTTCCGAAGACGTAACGAAACGTCTAATGGAGCAACTTAGGCACTTGCCAGGTAAATAGTTTTCCTTTTGCATTTTCCTGGTGAATTATGCGAAGTCGTGCACTAGGTGTACAAATAATGTATACAACAGCTTCTAATGTACCCACTTTTATGCCAACTAGACGAGAAAATGATAAATCGAGGTAAAGTTCGTGAAAAGCATTTATGTGCGTAGTAGGTACTTCCCAAAATAAAATTCTTTTAAATTTCATAAAAAGGATTTCATGAAAAGTTATTTTTCAAGTTTCATAATCAAATAAATTGCTCGATTTCATTGTAGTATCATGTTATCAAAGACTTTTATTTTATTTTCCCTTAACATTTGCAAAAATCCCTATGTGTGTAAATAATTTGAAATTTTTTTTGTCCTTTCGGACCGCAGGATCTTGCGAAAAACATTACGACGAATTCAATTTCTACAAATCGGTCGATTGTGTGATGGAAACGCTTAGATCCGCAAATTTGTTTTTCGAAACGATTAAGCCGTGGGAGATGAAGAAGGACCCTTCAAGGACCACCGAACTGAATACGGTCATTCACATTACAATGGAAACGTTGCGAGTGTGTGCGATTGTGTTGCAGCCGGTAATTCCGAACCTTTCGCGGCAGTTGCTCGAGAAAATCAACGTACCAAACAGTGCAAGAACGTGGACGAGCACGCGGAGATTATCTTGGGATAGAGAGGATTTTAAATCCTTCAAGATATCGACCGAAAAGGCGGTCTTATTCAGAAGGATTCAGTCGGAAAATGATAAACTCAAACAGAAAGGAAACCTGTAGATCGTTTATCTTATTTTTTTTTTAAGATTTACTGTATAGTATTTGCCGTGTTGGTCGTATAATAAATTTTTTAACACTTTGGGGTTTTATTTTTGTGTTAATATGGTCGACGAAGAATATTATACCTGGCACATATCAAAAAAAAAAAACCAATTGATTTCGCAATCTTAAGTTATCAACCCTCGACATGATCAATTCTATCTTTCCTAAAACATTTACTTAGTTCTGTAAAATGAATGCATTTTAATCTAATAT